GCAGACTCAATACAAAATTTGATTAACGTATGTGAAATTTGATATAAGATATAATCTTTAAGGTTTTCACTTTTCATACTCCTGTCGTCATTGGTAAAGTAATAGTAAATACCCAAGTTTTGCCGTCTGCAACTATGGTAGCTTGTACCATACAAGATTGTGCAACAGAGTGCGTAAATCTTATAAGTCTCGATGCAATATTAGGTTTCCAGTACAAGCCATGAACTCCTCTAGTATATGTTGTTTTAATACTTCCTTATTATGGTCTATCTAGGTCCTTTGCTGTTCTTCATCTCAGTGACTTGTATGAAGTTGATTTACGGTTTCTGTGTGCATGCAGTGGCAAATATCACACTCATATTTATTTAAAATAATTTATACATTTGTACGTTTGTTCTGAAAATTTGTTGGATTAGGGAATCTCCAGTCCCACTAGAAATGGCATGTTTGGGAGGTTGAACAATTTTGAAGTGCAAGCTCAGGACTCCTCTTCATAGTTTAGAGTTTTATAACTAACTTACTATTCACAACAATTTGTCTTTGGTGTATCATTGTTTCATAGGCAATCAAACCAAATCTCCTTATTTTCATATTGAGATATTTTCATTCATATAATATTTTAAAGAATGTAGATTATACTTTTTTCTGTGGTGTGCAAAATGTAACAGCATCCCCTAGTAGGGTTATCTGTTTCTTGTAGTTTGATTGTTGTTGACCTGGTGCCCTGGTTTCCTGCTGTTATTGATACAACGAATGGAAAATAACTGGAAAAACTAACAAGTAGGCTTGACTTAAATCTAGACAGGCATATAATTTTGATGAACCAGAAAAAAACCTTTTTCAACATTTTTTACAATTGTGTTTTTTTTTATCTATAATTTCTGTATTTTTTAACCAGATTCTATGGTTTTGATCTTGCCTTTACAGGCATATAAAACAACAATGTACACATGAAAAACAATTTATTGCAGATTATATGCATCAAAATAGTTAGTACAAACAATGTATTGCACAAAATGTAGGAAAAAAATTAACAAATAAATCAATAACCTAGTAAGTATTTGCATAAAACAACCAATATTTAAATCATGCTCAACAAGAAAAAAGTGGAAATTTTAAATTAAAAAGAAATGAACGCCAGTGGATAATATGCTGCAGACTACACCTTTAAAATGATATAGTGTTATTGCATGAATAATAAATATGGGTAAATATTGTCCAGAGTATATTTTATTTTGCAGGAGTTTGTGAGTACAATTGATATTCAACAAGGGATAATTTTCACCAATATTTATGCAATAACCCTTTTATTGTCCAGCAAAGTTTGAAAAACTGTGAAAAAAAACAAACTTATTTTTGTTACAATTTTTTGTGTAGGACATTTAACAACCCAAAACTGACTAAGATATTGGTATTAATTCAAATCTTCCACCTGGCATCACCACAGATCTTTGTTGAAAACGTGTACAAAAAAACCCGCCAACCTTTACAAATATTACACATATTTGCTGACTAAAAAATGCACAAGTTGACTGGAATTTTGAATTTGAAGTTGAACTCACTTGGAGAAGATGTTGGAAAATACAAGCTAAAAAAAGTATCTTCAAAGGAGTAGGGCCAATAACGCCCAAATAATTTGCCAAAATATTTGTACAAATTAAAAGTTGTACTAAATGTTTGAAATGGCATGTTTGGGAGGTTGAACAATTTTGAAGTGCAAGCTCAGGACTTCTCTTCATAGTTTAGAGTTTTATAACTAACTTACTATTCACAACAATTTGTCTTTGGTGTATCATTGTTTCATTGGCAATCAAACCAAATCTCCTTATTTTTATATTGAGATATTTTCATTCATATAATATTTTAAAGAATGTAGATTATACTTTTTTCTGTGGTGTGCAAAATGTAACAGCATCCCCTAGTAGGGTTATCTGTTTCTTGTAGTTTGATTGTTGTTGACCTGGTGCCCTGGTTTCCTGCTGTTATTGATACAACGAATGGAAAATAACTGGAAAAACTAACAAGTAGGCTTGACTTAAATCTAGACAGGCATATAATTTTGATGAACCAGAAAAAAACCTTTTTCAACATTTTTTACAATTGTGTTTTTTTTTATCTATAATTTCTGTACTTTTTAACCAGTTTCTATGGTTTTGATCTTGCCTTTACAGGCATATAAAACAACAAAGTACACATGAAAAATAATTTATTGCAGATTATATGCATCAAAATAGTTAGTACAAACAATGTATTGCACAAAATGTAGGAAAAAAATTAACAAATAAATCAATAACCTAGTAAGTATTTGCATAAAACAACCAATATTTAAATCATGCTCAACAAGAAAAAAGTGGAAATTTTAAATTAAAAAGAAATGAACGCCAGTGGATAATATGCTGCAGACTACACCTCTAAAATGATATAGTGTTATTGCATGAATAATAAATATGGGTAAATATTGTCCAGAGTATATTTTATTTTGCAGGAGTTTGTGAGTACAATTGATATTCAACAAGGGATAATTTTCACCAATATTTATGCAATAACCCTTTTATTGTCCAGCAAAGTTTGAAAAACTGTGAAAAAAAACAAACTTATTTTTGTTACAATTTTTTGTGTAGGACATTTAACAACCCAAAACTGACTAAGATATTGGTATTAATTCAAATCTTCCACCTGGCATCACCACAGATCTTTGTTGAAAACGTGTACAAAAAAACCCGCCAACCTTTACAAATATTACACATATTTGCTGACTAAAAAATGCACAAGTTGACTGGAATTTTGAATTTGAAGTTGAACTCACTTGGAGAAGATGTTGGAAAATACAAGCTAAAAAAAGTATCTTCAAAGGAGTAGGGCCAATAACGCCCAAATAATTTGCCAAAATATTTGTACAAATTAAAAGTTGTACTACATGTTCTTAAATTTGTTCAAACTATACTAAAGTATAATAAGGGGTTTAGAAAATAAAAACAAATTTCTCATTTATTGAGTTACCATGGCAACAAACCATGACAAAATGGTTATATTTTTTTAAATTATTGATTTTCCTTATTTTGCATCAACCTTAAAGTATTTTTTGGATTGGAAAAGTACATGAACAACCAAGAAACAACTTTATATTTGGTGCAAATAGCTAAGACAAAGCTTCTCTAAAATCATTGTGTTGTTTCTTGTCTGTGCACAACGTTACCACATAGGAAATTTTGATAGAAAACTGCATAGACTCAGAAGTTTTCCTCTTTCATGAGGGGCCTCGGTGGCTGAGAGGTCTAAGTAGTCAAACTACTGTATCTAGCCTGTCAACACTGAGGTTGTGAGCTTGAATCCGGCACATGGCAGGTGTGTTAGACTCCAATCCTAATTGACTGATTGTCAGTTTTCCTACTGAAGGTCAGTGGTTCTCTCAAGGCATGCCAGCTTCCTCCTTGAAATAGCAAAATAGTGCTGAAAGTGGCGTAAAACACTTATCAATCAATCAATAAATCTTTTTCATGAAAAAGGTACATATCATGACATCATAACATCAAAAGTCGTGTGTAATTCATTTATTTTTAGGGAACGACCATTTAACTTCAAGGGAGGTGGGAGGGGCTATGGTTTTTTTTTTCCTAAAAAAATAATCTGATCCCCAATTTGATGAAAAAAAATTTTGTGGTAAAGCAGATGACAAAAAAAAATATTCTGAATCCAGATTTTCCCCATACCTTATAGTGTTAAATTTTGAAAAAAAAATAATTTGATTGATAGCATTGAAAAACTAAAACAAATAAACTGTTAACACAGAGATATGTCTCGCCTATTTGTAATTTTGATAATGCAAATGTTGAAATTAAAATAACAATACTTTAACATGTAAGTTATGCAAATATTCAAAGTCAATGAACCATGACTGAAGGTACAGGGCTAAACAATCTGCATGGAAATGAGATGTGCCAATGCTAATACAACTGCAAACCAAATACCATTGACTTTTCATAAGTCGTTTCCTTTAAACAAACCTAAACACAAACATTAACTTGTAAACTATGTAAAAGTTTCAAAGTCAATGAACCATAATTGGGGGTGGGGTTATATAATCTCCATGGAAATGAAACTTCGAATATCATTGACTTATCACTGACCTAATCACAAACTAATACATGTAAACTAAGCAAAAGTTTCAAAGTTAATAGACCATGACTGAGGAGTAAGGACCAAATATTCTCCATGGAAATGAGATGCGCTAATGCTTATACAACTTCATAGCAATTATCACAGACCTACCACTAATGGTTCCCCTTAAACTGACCTAATCACAAACTAATACAAAAAAACTAAGCAAAATTTTAAAAGTCAATAGACCATGAATGAGGGGGTTGGGCCAAATAATCTCCATGGAAATGAGATATGCCAATGCTTATACAACTGCATACCAAATATCACTGACCTACCACTAGTGGTTCCCCATAAACTGACCTAATCACAAACTAATACATGTAAACTAAGCAAAGTTTCAAAGTCAATAGACCTTGACTGAGGGGGTGGGGCCAAATAATCTCCATGGTAATTGGATGTGCTAATGCTAATACAACTGCATACCAAATATCATTGACCTACCACTAGTGGTTCCCCATGAACTAGACCTAATCACAAACTAATACGTTGTTGACGCCGCCACCGCCTGAAACAGCATACCTATGTCTCACTTTTTGACTCCGTCAAGGCGAGACAAAAAACCATTACCACCCCCCTTGAAGTTAAATGTTTGCTCCCTTATTGATCCAATGCATTTCCACACATGATGTGCATATTTGAAATAACTCTCAAAATCTTTATTTTTTGCAGCCATAAATGGGCCTTAATGCCTCTACTCCTTTAACATTTCATAAGATTAAGTATGATATAATGTATGTAATGAATAAAAATCTTGCATCTGTAGTTACAAAATTAACAACTTTGAGCATACACATACAAACTATGTGAAGCACAATGATAAATATATAGTGCACACAATCTCAATATTTAATCTTTAATAAAATTATTCATCTAACAAGCATTATGCAATATTTAAAAAAGTTCCCAATGATTATAAAAACTGAATTATATTTCGTAACTCACATTCTTACAATAATTTGGTAACCAATGACTATATAGTCTGAACACTAAAATAGACAGTAATGCACCAAAATTAGTAGATCCATTAAAACCATGAATTATATATGTCTATGTTTAATAACATCCCATATACAGTACTATAGTGAATAACAGTGACTTATTATAATTCTAAAGTGAAAGTAGAAATACATGTCTATACAATAAAACATAATTGTAAAGTGAAAGTAGAAATTTATGTCTATACAATTATAAACTGATTTCATATAAACACATGGTGTTCTCATAGCATCTGCAATAAGAAAACAAGTAAATTAAAATTTTCACAACCAGGCTTTAACAATAAAGGCACAAAAAGCTAGCAACTACTATTGACTATAACTGTTTAGACCGCTTTGCTTCAACAATTTTATTTTACTTTGAAGTAGTCAGTTTCTACTCAAATCTGTAAATAAAAATGTTCTTATAGATTCAAAGTTGATGCATTTTTTTAATTTTCCATCCCAGTAATTATTGTTTTAAAGGCTAACAATGTTTTAAAGTGTTCCTGTAACATACATGTAATTAGAAGAGAATGAGGGTCTAAATGGGTGGTTCTTCATTTCTGTATTCTTTAATTTTTTTGCCATTTTTCTCTTTTCTTTATATTTTATCACCCCATTATTCTCTATTCTTTATTTTTTGGGTCCATTTTTCTCTATTCTTTATTTTTTTGCCCATTATTCTCTGTTCTGTAAATCCCCATCCAGACCCTCAGACCACATAAAATACTTTTCATATGTGCTAGGACACTCATCATGATAAAAATATCATAGTACTGTTAGCAAACTTATTTTTGGTAGATACTTTAAGTTCACTCCCTTGTAGCCAACTTCACTGGGATTTATTTTCACAATTTTTTCCTTTGTTTGTATATATTCATTTTCATACACTGTAAATGACTTTAATTCACGTTAATTTTCTTCTCTTGAAAGTTGAGTAATAGTAATTCACAAAGTAGAAATTAATATTTAGTTACATATTGCAATTAGTAGCACTGTTTTTCTTTGAATAACAATCATGAAAATTTCATATTATTAAATGCATGGCGTGCAAATGAAAGATCACAACAAATTTCTATGTAACACATAATTGCAGTGTTGTGAAACAAATCTTATACTCACAATAAATATGGATAAAATTTGGGTCCCATAAAAAAATCTATTAACATTAGAGACAACACACAAGATATGCATTGGGGCACGCTGAAATAGTTTAATTAGGTCAAAGTTCAATGTCAACTAACTCTGAAATTGACCTCCTAGTTAAACAACACTTGAAAAAATGATGCACAAATATACCTTTGAATGAGTTTTTATACTAAAAGTTGTTGAAGAATTCATTATGCTGAAAAATAAACCTGACCATTGAAGCATTAAAATAAGGTGAATATCATGGGATGTAAAATGCATGACCTCAATGCGAAATAGGCATTAATTATACCCAAAGAATCAACCTATAAAAATATGTTTGACCTTTCCCTCAAACTTACCGAGAAACATAAGTAATCCTGAAACCTTAACCTCAACATCGAAACATGAGAAATACTTCAAGAGCATAGGTCATAATAACATATTTCCCTACACAAAAAGTTAACATATATAACATTGTTGACCTGTCATGTATACTTACTAAAGAAAAGACCTAATACAGAAATCTTACACCATGTTAACAATGACTGGATGAAGGTCTTATAAAAAAACATTTTCAATACAAAATGTGAAAGTGTGTGTAACTATTAAGTTTTCTACTGAAACAAAATGTATTTAAGTCTAAATGGCCAGGTTGCACACTGTTTGGAAGAATGGTGAACAGTCATGAACTTTTAGATTTATGGAAATATAGAATATAAAAAATTGGGAGAAATCTTAAAACTCTATTATTGGAGTTGCATAACTTCAATAGGTTTGCAAACTTTATGTAACAATCTGAAATAATTCAAAAATAGGAGATCCATAACTTCATTATGTGTGTAATCTTTTTTTGTGAAGTTTCAGGGATCTTGTTTCGAAAAACTGTAAGAGTGAATTTAGCGATTAAACAAAATTGGTACAATGATTTGCTAAAAACGAAGTTCCAAAAGCTGGAAAAAAAGGAATAAAATTTCTTCAAACAATTCCATAATAACAGGTGCCTAACATTTACATGTTAGTAATGTGTCAATGAGGTGGAAAACTGTTGTATGAGTTGATTACACAAATTTTACTGAAAAATGACTAAGTCCAAAGTCTGGAAAAATGGTGAAAAATCAATAAAACAATTCCACTGAGGCAAGTGCAATCTTTCTGTAATTTTTCAAGGATATGGACTGAAAACTGTAGGATGAGATCATAATAGTACACAAACAGAAAAAACTCCTTCTTCCCATCTGGTTTTACAAAAAATAAATACTGGCAATTAAGTTTCCCTTTTTCTGAAGAAGAAGTCTCTTGGAATTTTAAACAAACCCAACCTTTTGCATCCCTTTCAAATTTTGCTATTGTGTCATGCTTGACTTACATATATCCATCTATAGTGTAATAAGATGTTAGTGAAGAAAGAAGAAGATTAAATAAAGCAGCAAGGTATGGATGTGCTCCAATCTATACATCTCCAAACTGGTGAAGCTGTTAGCAGCAGCAAAAAGTTACAGAAAACCCCTATTAAGATTAAGACTTGTCAAGACACTAGGATAAGTAGAATTTTCATACTGACCTCATTTCTTCTTTTTCTGAAATTTATAAGGTTATTTGTCAACTGGACATCTAATTTAGTTAGTTAACATTTTAAAGTATTTGATTTTTTTAACTGTTTCATTTTTGTTGTTTTTTTTCAAAAATGTTTTTGTTGTAGAATTGTTTGGATAAGATACCTCCATTCCCAATCAGAACTTAATAATTTTTTTTTTTTTTTGCTTTGATAAGAAATATGCAAAACGTCATTAAATTTTATTTGATCCCTATGATAAAACAAGTGAGCTTTTTACTTCCCTGTTGCCCTATTTTTAAACATCAATCAAATGTTATACTACACATTTTTTTCAAACCTTTCCAGAACAGTATAAAAATTCTACTTTCCCATTCTAATGAAATGACATTCTTTCACAAGATTCAGGGTAAAACTTTGCATAGAAATTAAATTTCTACAAAAGCTTATACTATTCCTAAAAGCTGTCAAAATATTTACATTCTTATAACATGAGATCATGGAATGATAAGTAATCAACAAAACTGTCACTCTCTGAAATAGAGGTGATATTCCTCTTTTGTCAGGCCATGTCTCTGCCACACTTGACAATGCATTTCTTCACAAAACATGCTTCTTGTTAATAAGCATAGAAGGTAGACAATGGGATAACGGAGTTCTCGAAATCCTTTTTTCCTGGTGGTGCTTGGAAGAAAATCTGCTGGTCCTCACTATTATTTCTTTTGCAAAATACTAAAATTGTGTCGTTCTTTTGCTAAATTTTGGTGGTAAAAACCTTCGGACCTCTTCTCTTTCGAGAACTCTGGGGATATAAACTCTTTATAAAAAAATCTATGACTTTGACATCGGTTTGGCAGAGTAATCAGTCTGATAAAGAAGCAATTTGAGCCTCAACTTCAGATTGTAAATCTATCACTACTGACTTGTATTTACAATTATAATTAAAACATGCATGATATATATATACAAATATATATATTTTTCAAAAAATCTTCACAAACTGGCTTAACCCTGTTTTAAATCAAATGCATTACAAATAACTTTGTATAAGCAGCTATTCCCACATCTAATTGTGAGGCTCCTCATGAGGGTGTCCAAGTAATCACAAATTTTTTGCCAATATAATCACATAATCATTAACTCTTTTTTTAAACAAAATAATCAAATAATCAAAAATACAGTCAGTCCTAGATTATCAAATAATCAAATAATCATGAAATATTTGGTCTAGTAATTAAATAATCACTATAAAAACGGCAAAGTAATCACATTATAAAAAAATAAAATGCTTCGCTGGGCGCAGCTTGATACGACCGCAGAGGTCGAACCCTGAACAGTTGGGGCAAGTATGGACACAACATTCAAGCTTGATACAGCTCTGAATTTGGATTGTGATTAAATATTTGACACAGCATAGGTTTCTGACACAGAAAGAATGTGGTCTAAGAACTTCAATTTTTTTAATTTACCTATTATGGTCCAATGTCCAAAATCAAAATACATGGTTAGATTCAGCATATCAAAGAACCCCATATATTCAATTTTTGTTGAAATCAAACAAAGTTTAATTTTGGACCCCAACTTGGACAAACTTGAAAACTGGTCCCATAATCAAAAATCTAAACACATGTTTAGATTCAGCATATCAAAGTACCCCAAGAATTCAATTTTTGTTAAAATCAAACTAAGTTTAATTTTGGACCCTTTGGACCTTAATGTAGACCAATTTAAAAAACGGGACCCAAAATTAAAAATCTAAAAACACGTTTAGATTTGGCATATCAAAGAACCCCAATAATTCAATTTTTGATGAAATCAAACAAAGTTTAATTTTGGACCCTTTTGACCACAATATGAACCAATTTGATAGTGGGCCTACAAAATAAAAAATCTAAATACATGGTAAGATTCAGCATATCAAAGAACCCCAAGAATTCAATTTTTGATGAAATCAAACAAAGTTTAATTTTGGACCCTTTTGACCTCAATGTGGACAAAGTTGATAACGGGGCCCAAAAATCAAAAATCTAAATACATGGTTAGATTCAGCATATCAAAGAACCCCATATATTCAATTTTTGTTGAAATCAAACAAAGCTTAATTTTGGACCCCGATTTGGACCAACTTGAAAACTGGGCCCATAATCAAGAATCTAAATACACGGTTAGATTCGGCATATCAAAAAACCCCAATAATTCAATTTTTGTTAAAATCAAACTAAGTTTAATTTTGGACCCTTTTGACCTTAATGTAGACCAATTTAAAAACGGGGCCCAAAATCCAAACACTTAATACACGGTTAGATTCAGCATATTAAAGAACCCCAAGAATTCAAGAATAAAACCCCATTGAAATTGATCAAGAAATAAGCAATTTATACGAAGTATCTTCTTTTGCACAATACTGTGCAATTGAATATTTCTTGCTATTGTGCAATACTGTACAATTGACAATTTCTTGCTATTGCGCAATATTGTGCTATTGGATATTTCTTGCTATTGCGCAATACTGTGCAATTGAAGATTTCTTGCTATTGCGCAATACTGTGCAATTGAAGATTTCTTGCAATTGTGCAATACTGTGCAATTGAAAATTTCTTGCTATTGCACAATACTTATTATATAATAATTTACACATCCTGTTTGGTGTGTAACTCCTACCATATCATTATTATTTGCTTTTAAATATTAATCAGAAATAACCAACTTAAAATGGAAAATTTTAAAAGAAAAAAAAAAGGAAAAAAAGAAAAAAAAAGAAACCCCCCCCCCCCAAATTTTTTGAACCCCCTTATGATTCATCACCCCCAAACTCAATCCCAGCCTTCCCTTTGTGGTATGGTACCTTGCAGTACAATTTCAGAGAGATCCATACACTTGAACACAAGTTATTGTCTGGAAACTAGAAAAATGCTTATTTTTGGCCCCTTTTTGGCCCCTAATTCCTAAAATTTTGAGGCAATTACCCCCAAAATCAATTACAGCCTTCCCTTTGTGATATGGAACCTTGTGGTACAATGTCATAGAGATCCATACACTTACACACAAGTTATTGTCTGGAATTACAAAAATGCTTATTTTTGGCCCCTTTTTGGCCCCTAATTCCTTAACTGTTGGTACCATAACCCCCAAAATCAATCCCAACCTTCCTTTCGTGGTATTGAACCTTATGGTAAAATTTCATGGAGATCCATTCACTTAAACTAAAGTTAGAGTGCGAAAACCAATGTGTCTTCGGACGACGCCGGACGACACCAGACGACGACGACGACGACGACGACGATGCCAACGTCATACCAATATACGACCAAAAAATTTTCAATTTTTGCGGTCGTATAAAAACCCATGAGGAGGCTCAATTGTAATGAATTAAAAAAAAAAGATAAGAAAACTGATATTATAATCAACCCACTTGCTTAAAATGCAAACATTTTTCCACAAATCCTTCTCAACCAAATAACAAATATTAAAAATAATGAAGATACCAAATGCTCAGTAACTCAAATTATCACACAAGAAAAATAACATTTCAACCAGATTTGTTTTGTGTGAACAGACAAATTGGAAATTATTTTCTAAAACTTCTATAATCAGCATAAAAAAAATTGAAAAACAAACAAAATTCTAATGCGAGAATAACTACCCTAAAGTTTATTAGTTTCAAAATTCAAATATTTCAGTGAGGACAGCATGGTCATACAAATAATGTTGAATATTTAATGAATAGCACCAAAAAAGTTTTACAGTACTAAAGTTACATATTTATAAGGAAAATAGATAAAATACACATATAGTTGTAGCATTAGACGAAATAACATATGTCCAGAATATGAAACAACAAAATACACAACTTCTATGAAAAACAAGGATACAAAATAATACACGACTACCATGAAAAATAAATCATCAACATTAATAACATTGTTCTAATAAGAAAATAGGAAAAAAAACTTAGGTCCCATTAAAAATAAAACTAGAACACTGGTAAAGTTTGGTGGTGAACTAAAGCATGAAAAATTAATGAAACGTACTGTATAAAGGAAGACAAAATATTTGTGATGATAAAAAGTGGCAAGGTTATAAAATATATATTTTCAGTTTGGCACAATGAAAATGGTCCCGAAAACTACAGAATTTGTGCATGAAAAATTTCATTCAGATATAACATTCATGCTTTTAGTTACAAAAAAAAGAAATGTCATTCCCTAAAGCAGAATTATGGCATGATATTTTCACTTTCACAGTAAATATATTCAAACATGTGACCTATTTCCATGCACATAATTTTATACAAAGAAAATTAAGTGTTCTTGTAGAATCTGATTGAAAACTGTTTATTTGAACATTTAAAAATTACTTTCATATTTAAGTACAAACATAAGACAAGATATGTAATAGGCTAATTTTGTTAAAAAAAAAATGGCAGTTTATTTCACCTTTTTGCACATTATTCTCCATTCTGAAAACCCCATCCAAACCCTCATGTAAGCCTATAAAATGTGCATTATATTCACATGAGGATTATATTCTATCCATTATAAAATCTCATGCCACATGTTTTCTTGCAGGGCAGTTTAAAATCAATTTTTATTCATTTTCTTCATGATAAAGTTAGCCTAACAACTTAATCATTTCCTTAGTAAGAAATTAAATTTTAAGAAAATATTCATGGATTCAGCTTTCAGTAAACTGCTCTTTGCAGTAACTCAAAGACTGACATAAGAAGCCACTCTATGAAATGCGTACACTGATATATGAAATCTATGGTATTTTCAATCTTAGCGTAATAAATCTATGAAAGTGTGGACACATAAACATGTTTAAAGAGTTTCAATGTTAACTCAAAAAAATTAAAAAACCTGTAGCAGGAATTTATTTAGGTTCATAGTTACTGATCACAAAAGTCCATGTTTTTGAAAATATAGTATTTTGATGTGAACACTCTATTTCATTGCAGTTACTGGCCATGCTGAATTCAGAGAGGTTTGATAATCTTTTTAAAGCAGTCAAATATATATCATAACTTTTCAATCGAACATGCAATCTTGACCAGTATATATGGGCAATAAAAAGTCAATACATCAAGCCATTGTACCTTGTAACTAGTCAGTTATTATTTCTTCAAGGGAGACAATTGATGAAACTGGTTGCTGTTTAAAATAAATAAATCTTATAACAGTATAATGTTCTTAAAATGGATTATGATCAAAACAATTAAAATGAATACTTATATAAAAAAAATCTAAAATTATATTAAGCACTTCAAAAAGTTATTGGCAGGACTAGATTTTAAATTGATAACTAGAAACGCGTTTATAAGTATGCACAAATATAAAAATCATGATTTGCCCAGACACCACTATGATCAATATGAGATTCATTGCATTGTTTTGTTCAGTCAAAGTTCATGTCATGAACAGTCAAAGTTCAAAGTTCATACAGGGTATAACATTGCTACAACACTCAGTTCTATATAAACCCAAGTACTTCAATGCATTGTGCAATTTTCTTATACAGTGAAACCTGTCTAAACCAAATCTTGCATAAACTGAAAAATCCGGCTAAACCAAACATGTTCTTAAGCCCAGTCATATCAAATTATATGCGCTTCTAACCTGATGAAACCAAACATCTGCCAAAACCGAACAACATCTTAAGTCACGAAGAGGTTCGGTTTAGACAGATTTCACTGTAATTAAATTTAAACAATTTGATATGATCCGTTTCTAGAAGCTGTTGCACCACGAAAGCTTAAGACTTCAAAGCACTATGAATGTCAATACACACACACACACATACAGACAGACAGACAGAGGTGAAAATACTGAAGTGGTATGAGTCTTTTTGAAATGAAAGATAATATTGACATAATTGGTAAGACATGAAATTCTGGTTTGGGCCACCAAAAATGAGGACATAAGATGGTTTTATTTCCATTTCAGAACGAAAAGGAGTTAATCTATTGCAAGTTATCTCCGAAAGGTTATCAACCAAGAAGATAATTTCTTCTGAATTTTTTTTCTACTGAGTGAATTATGCATCGGCATCTGGTATGTCCGGTATATCGATTGCACAACTTGTGTCACGTTCTTTGTCTTCGAAACAAACTGTCTCCACAACATCATTTTCATTGGGAGTATTCACAACAAAATCACCATTGTTGAGAGTATTCACAACATCACCACCTTCGTTGAGAGTATTCACAACAACATCACTCTTGTATGAAGGATTCACCACAATACCTCCCTCAGTCAATGTTTCATTTGGTGTCGCTGACATAGGAGAACTATGAACTATAACGTCTACTTGATTTACAGAAACGGGACTTGCGGCCATGTTTTCATCTGAAAATGACCGTTCTTGTTGTGCTATATGTAAATAGGGACTACTTAAGTTGTCTATATTTTTTTCAGGTGTTTCGTTTTCAATTGTGTTGTCTGTAAGTTCTACTTCGTAAAAATCATTAGATATGGGATCACCCATATACGGTACCTCTTTTGTAGCTCTGATAATCCTCTGACAGTAATAGTCATCATAGTTGATTGGATTCTGGTCATGTTCTCTGAAATAAAGAAAGAAAAAATTTTCTATCATATTGTTGATGTTGGTAAACAGGTTAGGAAAGGACTATTCTTTAGGCACCTGATGTAACTACCTTTAATTCTGCAAGATGTAACACTTAAAATATAGAAATCGTGAGACTAAATTCTTTAATAGATACAAATATTTGGTTTGAGTTATATTTTGTGTTATTTTCAGTCCTCAAGCAAGATTGCATACTTAGAGTTAGAAATAAAACACAAACATAAAAACATTCATCATCAATACAATATGCCACAATATCTGCTTCCAGTCTATCTACAATGATATCTATATACAGAGTATATCATTTTAATATCCAAACTCAATGATTTCATCCTTAGCCATTCTTCTTTGAAAGGGTAACAAGAGTGCTACTATAAGTATCACATTAACATTTATGATCCAAGAAAATGAGGTCAAGGTCAGATAAACCAAGCCGGAAATACATGAACACCTTTAATACAATCCCTCCATACACAGCATATAGATGACCTATTGCTTATAGTATAAAAGAAACAGACCAAACCATGGAAATTCTATATTGACCAATGAACCATGAAAATGAAGTCAAGGTCATTTGAACCCTGCCAGATAGACATGTACACATTAAAATCATTCCAAATATAGTTGACTTATTGCTTAAGGTATCTAAGAAAAAAAGTTAACCAGGAAAACTGAACATTGACCAATCAACCATGAAAATGAGGTGAAGGTCAGATGATACCTGCCAGACAGACATATACACTTTACAATCATTCCATACACCAAATATAGTTGACCTATTGCTTAAAGTTTAAGAAAAACAGACCAAAACACAAAAACTTAACATAAACAATGAACCATGAAAATGAGGTCAAGGTCAAATAAAACCTGCCAGACTGACATGTACATCATTAAATATTTCCATACACCAAATATAGTTGACCTACTGCATACAGTATTAGGAAAACAGACCAAAACACAATAAAATGCTCCGCAGGGCACAGCTTGATACGACCGCAGAGGTCGAACCCTGAACAGTTGGGGCAAGTATGGACACAACATTCAAGCTTGATACAGCTTTGCATTTGGATTGTGATTAAATATTTGACACAGCATAGGTTTCTAACACAGAATGAATGTGGTCTAAGAACTTAAAAATTTTAAATTGGACATTCACCTATTATGGTCCAATATTCAAAATCTAAATACATGGTTAGATTCAGCATATCAAAGAACCCCAAGAATTCAATTTTTGATGAAATCAAACAAAGTTTAATTTTGGACCCTTTTGACCTCAATGTGGACAAAGTTGATAACGGGGGCCAAAAATCAAAAATCTAAATACATGGTTAGATTCAGCATATCAAAGAACCCCATATATTCAATTTTTGTTGAAATCAAACAAAGTTTAATTTTGGACCCCGATTCGGACCAACTTGAAAACTGGGCCCATAATCAAAAATCTAAATACATGTTTAGATTCAGCATATCAAAGAACCCTAAGAACTAAATTTTTGTTAAAATCAAACTAAGTTTAATTTTGGACCCTTTGGACCTTAATGTGGTACAATGTCAGAGAGATCCATACACTAACACACAAGTTATGTCTGGAAGTTACAAAAATGCTTATTTTTGGCCCCTTTTTGGCCCCTAATTCCTTTACTGTTAGTATCATAACCCCCAAAATCAATCCCAACCTTCCTTTTGTGGTATTGAACCTTGTGGTAAAATTTCATAGAGATCCAGTCACTTAAACTAAAGTTAGAGTGCGAAAACCAATCTGTCTTCGGACGACGCCGGACAACGTCAGACGACGACGACGACGACGACGCCAACGTCATACCAATATATGACCACAAAAATTTTTTTGCGGTCGTATAAAAACTTAACATTTAGCAATAAACCTTGAAAATGAGGTCAAGGTCAAATAAAACATGCCAGACTGACATGTACATCGTAAAATATTTCCATACACCAAATATAGTTGACCTACTGCATACAGTATAAGAAAAACAGACCAAAACACAAAAACTTAACATTGAGCAATGAACCGTGAAAATGAGGTCAAGGTCAAATAAAACTTGCCAGACTGACATAAACATCGTAAAATATTTCCATACACCAATTACAGTTGACCTATTGCATACAGTATTAGAAAAACAGACCAAAACACAAAAACTAAACTATGACCACTGAGCCATGAAAATGAGGTCAAGGTCAGATGACACCTGCCAGTTGGACATGTACACCTTACTATCATTACATACACCAAATATAGTAGACCTATTGCTTATAGTATCTCAGATATGGACTTGACCACCAAAACTTAACCTTATTCACTGATCCATGAAATGAGGTCGAGGTCAAGTGAAAACTGTCTGACGGGCATGAGGACCTTGCAAGGTACGCACATACCAAATATAGTTATCCTATTACTTATAATAAGAGAGAATTTAACATTCCAAAAAATCTGAACTTTTTTTTCAAGTAGTCACTGAACCATGAAAATGAGGTCAAGGACATTGGACATGTGACTGACGGAAACTTCGTAACATGAGGCATCTATATACAAAGTATGAAGCATCAAGGTCTTCCACCTTCTAAAATATAAAGCTTTTAAGAAGTTAGCTAACCACGCCGCCAGATCACTATCCCTATGTCGAGCTTTCTGCGACAAAAGTCGCAGGCTCCACAAAAATGGCAAACAGTGCAGAATACAACCACTTCTGTAACCTTTCACTGGACAGGATGTAGAATAAGTAGTCTGTCAAATATACACATACCTGTTGCATATGTAAAATAGCTATGCTGGCAGGATGTAGAATCAGTAGCTTGTCAAATATTCACATACCTGTTGTATATAGAAATAGCTATGCTAGCAGGATGTTGAATAGGAAGTGGAATCTGTAGCTTGTCAAATGTGGCTGCTTTCCTATCTTGTTTCCATGGCCATGACCTTGGCCTACAAAAACAAACAAACAAAATGGTAATGCATCAATTCAAAATATTTTTGAAATATCTTTACCACACATCCTTAGCAATGCAGATATTTTGGAACTGTAACCTTACACAATTGATATTTCTTTCTTCATTTCAAAAAAAATAATTTGAGATTTTGATTAATAATTCAGACATTACATTATAAACATTGTGTCAACATGATATTAGTCAATATACAATTTATTTCTATCTAGCTTGCAAAAGACCTAACACCTTAATAATGTAAACAACAAATATCTTTGGATAATTTAAGGTTTCCATTTGGTAGTACTGTATCTTAAGAAAAGAGCTTTTCTCCTAGCACTATATGTAGCATAATGCTTACGGAATACTTATCCTTTATTGGCAAAATCGAGTCCATCTGTTGATATATTTTAGTGGAAATCAAATTCAGAATTATAAGACACCTGAATATTTCAACATAGGCAATATGAAAGAGAACATCATTATCTTTCAGATGAGAAATGAAGCCAGCAATTTGAATTCACACTTGCAGCTTCATCATTGTCTTCCCACACTGTGGTGACCCATCTGAAGATCCAAGTCATTTCTTTATATAATGCCCAGATTGTGATATTCATAGAGAAAGTACTTTAAAAATGTTTTTGAAAAACTTGTTATCAGTTTTAATATGCAAAATATTCTTTATGACGAAAACTGATATGAATACTATAAAATTATATATATAAAATAACATATATATAGACCTTCCCAATTTTCTGTATTGTTTTTATCCTGATGATGGTGCCATAGGCACCAAAACATGTCAATTATTAAATTAACTGCAGCAATCACTAAAGTGTTGTCGTTATAAGACTTTCACATTATAAGGTACAAGATATATAACATTTCTCTAATTCTGACACGACTTATCCTTTTCCTGACGTATTGATTATTTTATTTCTTCATTGGTCAAAATTCGATTATGACATCAAATTTTTCTTGCTTTTCTGAATTTCCCATTGTGAACGTCATGAATGAAGGAAACCATGCCTGATGACATAACATAGAAAGAACACAACTTTTTGCAGATCATTAGAAAAGAAGGATTGTGTTTGTCTGCATATCGTTTAAAAATCATTAGAGGAACAGATTCCCCTAACAAATCTTGTAAAATACGATACTTATCCATTTTGACAGTTAAATTTGAATTATTTAAAACACTTGGCAATATTGGCAAGCCCCGCGTTTTTAAATTTGAAAATTTAACTGTCTCAAGTGGGTAAATATTGTTTCACACTCGATACAGGGGTGGAATCTATATGTATATAAATTAGTGGCTGAATACTGTAACTATTGTACTTCCTCAACCCTCGTTCAACCAATTTAACCATTTGAGGAGATGATGCTTGACAGTCCAATTACCTTGGTTGAGCAATTGTTACGTATTTATTTGATTTTCACATACTGTGGATTCATTATTATTCGTTGGATACCAATTTTCTTGGATTTCGTGGGTACAGGTGAACCACGAAATTAAATGTTCAATGAATAACAAATGTTCTATAGGCTTGTATGCAGACTTCAGCAAAACCACGAAACTAAATATCCACGAACATGTAAGTTTTCCTTAATCCACGAAAATTGGTACCCACGAAAATAAATGAATCCACAGTAAACAAAAAAATTCAAGTGAAAAACTGAGACCCTCATGGGTAGTCAAGGTCGTTAAACATCCCCCTAGTAGTAGTAAAAAGAAATACAAGTAAACATAATAAATAAGAAGGGCTGTCAATAAGAGTGACCATCTAATGTAAAATACACATTGCAGTACTTTTAAGCTCACCTGGTTATAAGACTTTCACATTATAAGGTACGAGATATATAACATTTCTCTAATTCTGACACGACTTATCCTTTTCCTGACCTATTGATTATTTTATTTCTTCATTGGTCAAAATTTGATTATGACATCAAATTTTTCTTGCTTTTCTGAATTTCCTATTGTGAACGTCATGAATGAAGGAAACCATGCCTGATGACATAACATAGAAAGAACACAACTTTTTGCAGATCATTAGAAAAGAAGGATTGTGTTTGTCTGCATATCGTTTAAAAATCATTAGTGGAACAGATTCCCCTAACAAATCTTGTAAAATACGATACTTATCCATTTTGACAGTTAAATTTGAATTATTTAAAACACTTGGCAATATTGGCAAGCCCCGCGTTTTTAAATTTGAAAATTTAACTGTCTCAAGTGGGTAAATATTGTTTCACACTCGATACAGGGGTGGAATCTATATGTATATGAATTAGTGGCTGAATACTGTAACTATTGTACTTCCTCAACCCTCGTTCAACCAATTTAACCATTTGAGGAGATGATGCTTGACAGTCCAATTACCTTGGTTGAGCAATTGTTACGTAATTATTTGATTTTCACATACTGTGGATTCATTATTATTCGTTGGATACCAATTTTCGTGGATTTCGTGGGTACAGGTGAACCACGAAATTAAATGTTCAACGAATAACAAATGTTCTATAGGCTTGTATGCAGACTTCAGCAAAACCACGAAACTAAATATCCACGAACATGTAAGTTTTCCTTAATCCACGAAAATTGGTACCCACGAAAATAAATGAATCCACAGTAAACAAAAAAATTCAAGTGAAAAACTGAGACCCTCATGGGTAGTCAAGGTCGTTAAACATCCCCCTAGTAGTAGTAAAAAGAAATACAAGTAAACATAATAAATAAGAAGGGCTGTCAATAAGAGTGACCATCTAATGTAAAATACACATTGCAGTACTTTTAAGCTCACCTGGTTATAAGACTTTCACATTATAAGGTACGAGATATATAACATTTCTCTAATTCTGACACGACTTATCCTTTTCCTGACCTATTGATTATTTTATTTCTTCATTGGTCAAAATTTGATTATGACATCAAATTTTTCTTGCTTTTCTGAATTTCCTATTGTGAACGTCATGAATGAAGGAAACCATGCCTGATGACATAACATAGAAAGAACACAACTTTTTGCAGATCATTAGAAAAGAAGGATTGTGTTTGTCTGCATATCGTTTAAAAATCATTAGTGGAACAGATTCCCCTAACAAATCTTGTAAAATACGATACTTATCCATTTTGACAGTTAAATTTGAATTATTTAAAACACTTGGCAATATTGGCAAGCCCCGCGTTTTTAAATTTGAAAATTTAACTGTCTCAAGTGGGTAAATATTGTTTCACACTCGATACAGGGGTGGAATCTATATGTATATGAATTAGTGGCTGAATACTGTAACTATTGTACTTCCTCAACCCTCGTTCAACCAATTTAACCATTTGAGGAGATGATGCTTGACAGTCCAATTACCTTGGTTGAGCAATTGTTACGTAATTATTTGATTTTCACATACTGTGGATTCATTATTATTCGTTGGATACCAATTTTCTTGGATTTCGTGGGTACAGGTGAACCACGAAATTAAATGTTCAACGAATAACAAATGTTCTATAGGCTTGTATGCAGACTTCAGCAAAACCACGAAACTAAATATCCACGAACATGTAAGTTTTCCTTAATCCACGAAAATTGGTACCCACGAAAATAAATGAATCCACAGTAAACAAAAAAATTCAAGTGAAAAACTGAGACCCTCATGGGTAGTCAAGGTCGTTAAACATCCCCCTAGTAGTAGTAAAAAGAAATACAAGTAAACATAATAAATAAGAAGGGCTGTCAATAAGAGTGACCATCTAATGTAAAATACACATTGCAGTACTTTTAAGCTCACCTGGTCCAAGCTTTTCTCATCACTTTAACATTGTATCTCATAATTCAATTGAATTAACCTTGTTTATTTCTTAACAATCCACATTCAAAAGAATCCACTAATTTATTTTCCGTAACAATATAATCTGAAGAAATTCTATCATAAAAGATGATTTACATTCTACATTGTTACAAATCTGATTTTTTGTGATATTTTATTTCAATCAAGATGAATTTTACCTCCTTGTAGCAAATGCAGCTGTAGCATGGATTACACGACTTGGATTGAAGATATCTAAATCAGCAGACGGTCTTTTGACTGCTACATCACCTTAAATCATAACAATTTATAATCAATAACATGAGTGTTTAGAACAATTTCATATCATTATTATATATGTTATATGCAGCACAATAAAAATAAAAAGTATATATTCCATATATATCAATATATAAAATAGTATTTGTATAATTTTGAAGTGAATGTTATACCTATTCTTTGCTATCCTCATCAAACCTAAACATAGAACCTGTTTAAGGAGAAATCTGTTTATAAATACTGTTAATTCAGAATTAGCTGCAATACAGTAGCAGGTTCACAATAAAAAAAAAACACTCCCATGGATCATTTCACGAGTTTACAATCACATTTATTAGATATAATTTTTATCAGTAATCAGTGATTTGCAATAATAAATGAACACATCATTAATTTCTGTGTAGTTTCCACTTATCTTCTGAGGTTTACATTCTTTATTTTCATATTATGCTTGATATATAATTTGTAGGAATTCATGAATAATCTAACGTTCAAATTTTTCCTTAAACAGATGTTCAGTGCCGAGAAAACCTTTTAAAAAATATGTTAAAACACACTATCATTTCTACTTTACTTTCTGGTTACCTCTTATAAATTGGAAGTATGGACTACGGTGGAAAGTTGTTTCATTGGCAATCACACCACATCTTCTTAAAACAAGGAATTATTTGAATCTGGAATAAATTTGAATTCTGGAAAATTAATAAGAAATGTATGATGAAAATAACCCAATTTAGGAGGGTTAGCCATGCATGCATGCTAAGAGGGGTTAGATAGTTCATATTAAAATATAAGTGAAAGTAAAATTTATTTAGTTGTGTAAGTTTTCATCATACATTTCTTATCAATTTTCCAGAATTCGAAATTATTCCAGTTTCAAATAATTCCTTGTTTTATTCTTCTATGGGCGTTTTTATTTAATGACTTTAAACATGTGACACTTACCTGAAGTTGAATGGACTTCAGTTACAACGTCTAAGTCATCATGAAAGTCCCCAGTCTTCAACATTTCCACATATCTTCCTAAATGTAAATGTTGTACCTGAAAAAATTACCGATTTGTACAGAGAGCTAGAATGGTTTTTTTTTTAGTGCTTCTTCAATTAAAAACTATACAGTATCAGTATAAGGTTTTATAGTTTTATAATGGAAATTAGTATATCTCTTTATAATAGACAATATATTAATAGAGTTTTAATTAAAACCACTAAATGTTTAGACGGTCAGGTGGCACCTATCAGACAGGGTTGGGGTAGAGTCAATCTTATTGGTTGCCAATTCATATCTTCTTTGGAGCCTGGGACTATGTACCAATGGAAATGAAAAGAAATTTCTAGTAGCCATCTTAGCTATATACAACAGAATTTTTTTTCATTTTTCAAGACTAGTGTTAGGGGTTTAGGCAGCTGGGGCCCTTCTAATCTGCATCCCTGAAAAGTATTTATTGAACCTAAAGTAATAAAGACCAAGAGCATTGTACTATGCACTTATGGACAAAATATAGATCTATAGAAAATTCACTTTTCTTTTAATTAACAGTCTTATCAGCAGAAAGTAAGACCTGTTCCTTGAAATACATTTTGGTAAAGTTACCCCTATAAGACTTGTAGAAAAGGACAGCTTTTGCAGTCATAAAGTTTTTGAGTACAATTATTGTACTCAGACTCAGAAATCAACCAATCAAAATACTGGATTTGGTGTTTCGAGTACAAATTGTGTACTGCAAGTACTGAGTAAAGTTTTATGACTGATAGCCCTGGATTCAGACCATTGTCCCAAAAATTTATCATATTGCAGAAACCATGAATCCTCTATGTCATTAATAACCAAACTTACCTCCAACTGAAAGTGTGTATCAGTTCCCTCTAATGGTATCAGAAATCCTTCAGAAAATACGTCTTTTAACTTTTTACAAGCTAGTCCTAAAAAATAATCAATGTTCAGTAAACAAAAAAGAAAAACACACAAAAGAAACATATTGACATATTTGAAATAAAACTTGCTAAAAACACTATTGAAACTAAGCAGCATTCCATCAATAGCTAGGTGTCACCCCTAAAGAAGATATTACATGTACTACTGTAAATTCAGAAATTATTGCGTGCATTTACACAATGTATTATTGCCATTTTTGAGGAAAGGACAAAATGTGATATTAATTATTGGGATTTCCTGCAAATCTGCATACAAATACAAGTATCAGATATCAGAATGCAAGTTCTTATTATTGCGATTCTAATCGAATATCATTATTCGCAATAATAAAAAACCTCGCAATAATTTTCTGAATTTACAGTACAGTTTGTATAACATTTGAGGCTCCAGTTCCATGTTTCTGTCATGCATCAGTTTCAAAAATAAATTTCATTATGAAGCTTAAAACAAATAATAAAGTGAAAGGAATCTAAATATTGCTTAAAGTAAGACCTTACAGTTATCATAAAAGAAATACATTTTTTTGCTAGATTTTTCCCTTGGAAATTAATCCTCCAGAGCGTTGTCACATTTTGCTCATTTTACATGGTAACACTTCGTGCTTTTAAACCACTTCATGCGTTTTTATACTGTTCCAGTTGTTATTAACCTTACCAAAAAGTGAAATATGTCATGAAATTGTCGGAAGACAGCAGAGATGTTGTGTACAAAAAAAATACTGATATTGATGGTTTTTGAGTTTTCTCCCTTGTCCTTTAACTATTTCCTGATTTATTTTTCTGATGTGATTTTAATTTTATTATCATGTAGTAAAAACAAATTGTTTTATTTGATAAAAAGAAATGTACTACATGAAACTTAGGAACCAGGGTCCTGTTAAATTTATGTTGCAGTATTTGTCTGTGAAACATTTTGTAGTTGTAAATAACAGGAGTTATCCCAAAATTTCTGATAAATGAAGTAGACTTACCTCCCATTAAATACAATTATTTTTTTTAGAGTATGAAAGTTTATTTAATATGACATTCAAATGAAAAAAAAGTGTGACATCTAATAAATGGCTGTATGGCATCTTTTTCTGTTGCTTTATTGGCTCTGTTGGCAACTTCAGAATTTAGTTGTAATGCCTAAACTGAGATAATGTTATTCAACTTATTGGTTATTGGCAATCTTTTTATATCAAATATCAATTTCTCTCAAAGCTTTTATTGAAATAATACTCCTTCTGAATAGTTCCAAAAATTATGAACAAGTTTAATGCATTTTTTCCTGAAAAAAAAACTAGTTGTGACAATGCATGAGGAGTATATGGTAAACTAAAGGCTCTAAAGACCTGGGTTTATGTGAATATTTAACGTTGAAGACTAAAATATAGTTCAGGACTACGATCTCTTTTTGTTGATCTTGTATTTAATATCGCTCTTTCTATTATAGTCTTTGCACAAAATACAAAAAATGGGTAAAAGTTGTCATTCAAGGGCAATATTTTCTACAATTTCAGCTTAATGGAAAAATAATAAAAAAAGGGTAAAAAACTTCTTTCAAGCACAACAACTCTTATAAAGAGTTGACTGACAATTTTGGTAATGTTGTTTATTTGTAGATCTTGTGTTTGCACATCATTCTTGCTGTTTACAGTTTTATTTGTATACTAAAGTTTTCCTCAAAAATGCAAAAAAATTGGTAAAATCATTATTTAAGAGCAATAAATTCTATTTGTAGTCAACTGACAATTTCTGCTATGCTGACCTATTAGCAGATATTGTCCTGTTGATCATTTTTTGCTATTTACAAATTTTGTTCATGTCTTCTCAAGTTTTTGCCAAAATTGCAACAAAAACAACAGAAATAGTCATTGAGGGAAAAAACTCCTATAGGCAGTTGACCCAGCATTTCGACCATAAACAAATTTAAATATCTCGACCTGTTGATCATTTTTGATATCAAAATATCATTATCACTTAATAGTTTTCAAGATAATGAACAAAAATGCCAAAAAATTGTACAAAAAATTCAAATTGGGCAAGAAGTTTCAGAGAAGATTTTTGTAAATGGTAACAGACAGTTGAAGAACAACACAAAGTGATGAGAATAGCTCACTTGACCCTGTGGGTCAGGGGAGCTGAAAAATACTGGTCTCTTATACCTCTCCAGTCTCTGAACTTTAGTTGTTCATCTTCCCAGAAGTCTTCTTCAGAAAACAAAGCCTTCCTTGGGAAAATCTTCTTTGGATAAAAATCTTGTAGCATCTTAGCAGCATGGAGAATAGTCAACTGAAAATATAATAATTTATGATAAATCTATGTACGACTGTATAAATTTAAAAAAGAAATCATAGACAGAAAGTTTATAAATCACTGATTTTACAAGGTACTTACAAATCTAATGCAAAACAATAGTTTATTATTTCCGTTAAATAAGTAATCAAGGGGAGACAATTTATTCTTCCTCCTTTAAGACTGTATGCCCTGTTTATCAAACAACTGGAGGGGCCTCGGTGGCCAAGTGGTCTAAGTAGTTCTACTATTGTAATCACTAGCCAGTCAACACTGAGGTTGTGAGTTCGAACCCTGCTCGTGCGGGTGCACTCGACTGTAATCTTAATTGACTAGGATTGTCAGTTTTCCTATCAAAGGTCGGTGGTTTTCTCCGGGCACTCCGGCTTCCTCCACCTATAAAAACTGACCGCCACGAAATAGCCCAAATGTGGCGCTTAAAAGTGGCGTTAAACACCAACAATCAATCAATCAATCAAACCACTGGAATGACAGTCATTTTTTTTTGTCAAATCCCTACATATAGTAAAAATAAATGGAGAATGTGTCCATGGGACAAAGATGATGCCCCTGCTTGCATATAATGTTATAAAGGGACATAACTCAAGAACGGTAAAATTGATGCCACCCAAATTCGAACTTGATCTTAGTTTTGTGTATAAGTTTCATAACATTTGGTTGAAGCAAATTATGAATATTTGTACAGGGTCTCCCAATCATCATTTCTGTAAAGTTTCAAAAGATAAGGCTTTGTAGTTTCAGGATAGAAGAAATTTGAAAATTCACCAATCAGAACGAAAAATTTGTCTTGTGTATATTTTTAATGTTTTTCATTGAACCAACTGAGGGATTTTATAAAGACCTTACATACATAATCCATACACATTTGGTTAATGATTGCTCAGTAATTTAAGAAGATTAGAAAAGATTAAAATGAAAATTAACAGAGAAAAAACAGACTGCAGACAGACTCCAAGTGACGACAACAGCTCTAAATGGAAGGCCAGGTAAGCATAAAAGGCATTCTACACAGAGTTTACTTTGACTTTTCTTCTTGTGTCCTTTTGGTCATATAGCTCTTCAACTGTTTCAGTGCTTATATGTCCTTGGCTTTCAAATATTTGGCTTTGAGTGTAGCTGGTGAAGGTAAATCCAAATTATAGCTCATCAGACGTATGAAATTTATAATCTGTTGTTTTTATTCCTTTAACATTCATTTTACCTTAAGCTGTCTTTCCTGAAGTTTAATCTTTCTCTGAGTCATGGGATTAATTCCTGTGTTTAATTTCTTCTCTCGGCTATAAAAAGAAAATGAAATGACAAATAACGTAATAAATACTTAAATGTTGGATTTTTATTGAGGAAGTAAAAATTGAAGAAACAGCAAAACTTGTTAACTGTCAATTGTCTATTTTTAAAATGATTTTGTTTCATTAAGCTTTGTTTTATTTTAGAAAAACAATTCTTCTGAAATTGCATTTGTTATTGAAACCTTTTGACACTTCCGTGTTAATGTATGGAATGCCATAAAACACTAATAATGTATCCATTTTGTAGATATAGTGTAAATTCAGAAATTATTGCGAGTTTTTTATTAATGCCAAATAATGGGACACAGGTAGTGTCGCAATAATAAATACACACATTCTAATGTCTGATACATATATTTGTATGCTGATTTTCTTGAAATCGGATTAATTTTTCTCATAGTTTTGTCCTTTCTTCAAAAATCGCAATAATTTCTGAATTTACAATACACACTTTTCTGGTACACAGTACTCTGCATTTGTGCATTTGTATGTTTGGCTAATTTTACTTTAATACTTTATATGACATAAGTAAGTTTTACAAAAAGAAAGTCTGCTACTGAATTCATACATTTTTTGTATACTATATTAAAAACAATAATAATCAAATATTGAATCAGAGAATGCTGTCTGACTATCCTGGTTAATTGATTATAATTTTCCAGCATACTTCGAACTCTAATAAAATTGAACACTACAAGAAAGTTAGATTATTTTTGCAACATTATTGACAATACATAGATGTTTGTCAATGTCAACATATAGAACAAAATTAAAAAAGCACACTTTTTATAAGCTGATTTTTCCAAATTGCAGTTATGTTGTGCTGTTAAATTACAGTCACAGGCTAAAAATAGAGTTAAGACTCACAAACACACAATACATTCTTCATGAGTTTTGCTCATTGTTGAAGGCCATACAGTGGGTGACCTATAGTTGTTAACTACTATGTCATTGTGTCTATAGTGGAGAGTTGTGTCATTGGCAATCATACCAAATCTACTTATTTTTATATTTATATCTGTCCAAAGCCAGGAGCTTATAATCCAGCAATTGAAGGTTGTTGCTATGCACCATAGGTGTATTTTGTTTTAGAATAAATCAGGCCATTGGTTTCCTGGTTCGAATTGTTTCACATTTGTCACGACAAATAATTATTATTATCATAGCCTTTTATAGCTAACTATATGGTTTTTATAGCTACACAGGATTTTTATAGCTTTTATAACTAACTAATGAGTTTTGCTCATTGTTGAGGGCAGTAAGGTACATGTAATTGTTTGCATCTTGTCCTTTGACCTTTGGTGGAAAGTTGTCTTATTGGCAATGTACCACATCTCCTTAATTTTATAATAATCAATATCACAAAATGAGAGAGAAAAAAAAATGATTTGCTAACCCGATCTATAAAGATCACACACTAAATATTTTAACCCAGATTATCATATACAGTTACTTATTAAATAAAGATATAAAATCACAAATTAGGGGCCAGATATAAGATTTTACCTGACTTACTGTAAATTCAGAAATTATTGCTTGCATTTATTATTGCGATTTTTCAAAAATGGACAAGAATGCAATTTTAATTATTGCAATTTCAGAAAAATCTACATACAGATCTATGTTTCAGTTATCAAACTGTGAGTTTTTGTTATTGCGATACTCACATAGTTGCATGATTCGCATTAATAAAAACCTCGCAATAATTTCTGAATTTACAGTACTTCTCAATAAATACATACTTTTGAAACTGGACAGCTAAATCTTTATGATAGTTACTGGTTTCTACGTATAACTTGCTGTAAACTCCAACTGTATCTATCTGCGCTGAGAATGGCTTAAAGCACTTTACAATGAATGAACTGAAATAAATTAAAAAATACTGTTATCAATTCAAATATTGTAACTGAATTATCTCCCTTTCTACAATTGTAGAAATGAACCTTATATTCCTCATGTATTTTCATTTAACTCTCCCGATGGTTTATTTTTTTTTTGGGGGGGGGGGGGGAAGAGGAGAAAAAGGGAAGGGTTGCTAGTAATTTACATTAGGAAAGATTCATTAATAAAGGCAACAGTAGTATACCGCTTTTCAAAGTCATAAACAAATCCGGGTTACAAACTAAAACCGAGGGAAACACATCAACTATAAGAAGAAAACAATGGAACAACAGAAACACTGAACTGCTACAAAACAACTTTGTGTCCAAATTTTTAATGAAAATAAAAAAATGGGGAATGTGTCCATGGGACACAGATGATGCCCCTTCTTGCATATCACATAAAGTTACAAAGGGACATAACTGAAGAACGGTAAAAGTGACGCTACCCCAATTTGTTATTGATCTGAGTTTTGTAGTAATAAGTATTGTGTATAAGTTTCATAACATTTGGTTCAGGCAAACTTAAGTTTGAGAACGGAAACAAAAAATTCTGCATTTTTTTCCTTTTGTAAAGGGGCATAACTCTAGAACAGTAAAAATGACACCACCAAAAATCAAACTTGATCTGTATTTTGTGGTAATAAGCATTGTGTATAATTTTTATAACATTCGGTTGAGGCAAACAAAGTTGGAGAACGGAAACGAAAAATTCAGCAATTTTTCCTTTTGTAAAGGGGCATAACTCTAGAACGGTTAAAGTGACACCACCAAAATTCAAACTTGATCTGTATTTTGTGGTAATAAGCATTGTGTATAAGTTTCATAACATTTGGTTGAGGCAAACTAAAGTTTGAGAATGGAAACGAAAAATTCAGCAATTTTTCCATTTGTAAAGGAGCATAATTCTACAACGGTTTAAGTGACGCCACCAAAATTCAAATTTGATCTGTTTTTTTGTGGTAATAAGCATTGTGTAAAAGTTTCATAACATTTGGTTGAGGCAAACTAAAGTTACAAAACTGAAACGAAAAATTCAGCAATTTTTCCATTTGTAAAGGGGCATAACTCTACAACGGTTTGATCTGTGTTTTGTGGTAATAGGCATTGTGTATAAGTTTCATAACATTTGGTTGAGGCAAACTAAAGTTAGAGAACGTAAACCAACTTTGGGACGCATGGACGGATGGACGTACGGACGGACAAGGGAAAAAAACTTAATGCTCCTTCCACTACAGCGCATAAAAATAAAGTGTGCAACTGTTTTGTTTTTTTTAAATTGAATTTTTAAGAAGAATGTTGGACACACCTGAAATTATTTTACACTTGGAATGACATCTCGTACTTTTGTCATTAATTTTATGACTAATTGTCAATAACATTCATAGCTGAAAAAGGAAGAATTTGTTTAAAAATTGTAACAGACAGCTGTGTATTCATGCTATTACACTCACAGTGGTTAAATGTTTACAAATTAACAAACTTTTTAACTCCTGATTGTTTTCAATGAAGAAATTTCTATGAAAAAGAAAAGTTTTTTAGGTATTATGGGACATGCAGTAAACCATGTGACTCCATGCACATTTGTAACTGTAGAATAATATATATATAATATCAGGACACATATCTTAATTCAGACTCAACATTTCATGCTGTTTCTGATTTAATAAATTTTTTGTGTACATAAAGATGGTTTGAAATGTTCCAAATTCTGATGTCATAGTTTATCAAGTGTAATATTTTTACTCCAACACAGATAATAAACATAATGTGAAAAATAGTTAAAAAGTACCTCATATATCAATATGAATAGAAGGAGATGTGGTGTACATTCAACAATGAGACAGCAACCAAACAATTCAGAAAAACCAAAATATGATATTAAATCCAGTGGCAAGTTTAATGCATATTCAAGACAGGAACATATTAATGTGATATATACTGCAGCTGTGCTATTTGCACATTGCATTGACCATATATTCATTTGTGATATACAGTCACTGACCATATATCGTCTTGTTTATGACGTTGACAATGCGTTTCCGTAGAGTTTTATCTATGAAGTCAATAAAACATATATATTCACGGAATTTTTACGTTGTCCGCTCTTAATTAAAAAATGATAGTTTTTACACTAAAAATTTCATTTGAAACAGATGTAAGAGTTGCAGTATAATAAAGACTAACCATAGATTGTCTCGAAATACAAATTTTATTTGTACTCGGCTCAAAACAGGATAGAAATGCTCGGCACAGCCTCGCTTTCTACCTAATTCTAAGCCTTGTACAAATAAAATTAATATTTCAAGACAATGTATGGTTATTCTATATATAAATTTGAACCCTTCTATGAACTGGACCGACACCCTGAGCTGGATTTTTCAATGTGCAAGTTCACAAGGCAACAGTCCACAGAAGATATGTCCCCTTACCCTAAAGACAAATTATTCTGACTCCAGGCTGACCAGTCATTGTTCTTACTCCTAACTGCTGCATACCCAGTGGCGAAGCAGCAAATACCGATTTTTAAGACTTAGGCTTGACAAGGGAGGGCATCACACCCACAACCTCAGACTTGCACTAGCTGCAAGCAGAGTACTACACAACCACCAGAAGGCTGAGAAAAACAATAGACATCAAGGAGTTTTCAACAATGGACAGAAATTCTAAATCCCATCAAGTCTAGAAAGAGACTATCTGTCATCAACACAAAATTCCCTAAATGACAAAAAACATTAAGATAAAACTACTAACAATGTTCCTGACTTGGGACAGGACTATAAAACTATTTATGCTTCAACTAATATGCTTTTAACTTTTAATTACTACAAATTCAGAAACTATTGCATGCATTAATCATTGCAATTTTTTACAAAAAGTGAGATTAATTCTTGCATTTCAGAAAAAACTGTATACAGATATATGTATCAGATATCAAAATGGGAGTTCTTATTATTAGAAACATACCCAGTCCCATTATTTGCATTAATTAAAATCTTGCAATGGTTTCTGAATTGACAGTATTATCTCCTAAATATCAAATTTTCTTAAATTGAACAAGAAGCAAGGAGAGACATAACAAATGTACTTTTACATTCATGAAATTCTTGTAAAGTTATATTGAAAGATGAAAGTGAAAATCCCTCACAATGCCTTTATGTTTTATGTCATTCAACATAAAAAGGAAATGCTCTATTCTGTCATCTGACATAACAATATAGATAAAACTAAGATATACATACATATGTATACATATTTTCATATGATTACAACACTGACATATTCCAATGAGAGGATAAAGATGAGACAGTCAAATAAAATTTATGGTGATTTGTAAGGGGATATTGAGAAAAGGTAATGGAAAAAAAATCCACATCCATGGAAAAAGAAATCCACATCCATGGAAAATAAATCCTCATCCATGGAAAATAAATCCACATCCATGGAAAAGATGTCCACATGGAAAAGATGTCCAGTTCTATCAATGGAAAAGAAATTCTCAGCCATGGAAAAGAAATCCACATCCATGTAAAAGATATCCACATCCATGGAAAAGATGTCCACATCCATGGAAAAGATATCCACATCCATGGAAAAGAAATCCACATCTATGGAAAAAGAAATCTACATCCATGGAAAAAGAAATCCACATCCATGAAAAAAGAGATCTACATCCATGGAAAAGATGTTCACATCCATGGAAAAGAAATCCACATCCATGGAAAAGATATCAACATCCATGGAAAAGAAATCATCATCCATGGAAAAAGAAATCCACATCCATGGAAAAGATATCCAAATCAATGGAAAAGAAATTCAAATCCATGGAAAAAAATCTTCATCAATAGAAAATTCAAGCTTCTAGATTTGCTAAGAGCAATTCTTGAAATGCTGTGCAAACTGTCTTAAAATGCTTTACTTACTACAATAATGTAAAATGTGTTCCCGATTGGAATTTCTACACAAGAATTTTAAAGATAGTTTTCATGGTTCCAATTTCCTACATTGATACACCTCGATGTTTGATAGAATTTTGAAAACTCTAAATATATGCATTTATTTTTTTTCTTTTCTTGATATGATACAAACAAATTATGATATGTTGATTAAAAATATATACATTTTTTCTAAAAGAAAAACATGCTAAAGTGCAAAAACTTAAGTTTCTATCCCCTGCTCCCTGAAAAAAAATGTATTTGTATATTATTTAAAAGTATGATATTCATTTTCCCCTGGTACTCAACTGAATAGCAATACATGTATTGGTAAACTTCATTCAAGAGCAATATTCATACTCATATTGTTAATGTCCCCAATTCAACCCCTCCCTAGTGGTCTGATAGCCTTGAGAGAAAAAAAATCTTTTGATATGTACTTTTTAAGTGGATCAGTGGAAACTGAAGATAAAATCACTAACACACTTGTCTCACTTCTCTTCTACAAAATTACTTAATCTTATCAGGAAAAATATTCTCTCTGATGTTTTTCTGATACCAGGGAAAAATACTAAATCTTATTTTCATTTGAGAAAGATTTTTCTGTGTAAAAATCTCCAATAAAATGCACAAAGAATATGGAGAAATAATTAGCATTTTCATTAGGCCATAAAAAAAACAGAAATATGTACATCAGTTTTATGGGGAAAGTCATATTTCTGTTACCAGTTGTATCCCTTTTGTTGGGGCTCTTAATGGAGTACAAGTTTCTTTTTTATTTATTGATAAAATATATCAAAGTATTAGTATAAGAAAAGAAGGAAACAATCCAGACAAAAACTAAAATAAGGTGATCACAAATACACCCTTAACCACAGAAAAACTCTTTTCAAAGGTACTCTTAGCAAAACCCTAATTTCAACTGACTTAGTGACCTGCATTTTATGTTTCATTACATAGTGTTAAAATCTAAAAAGAGATTGTCAAACAAAACTTCATTATCACCTAGGGGAGAGGGAATCCAAATTTCCATGTAACTAAGGGAAG